GGCCCACGTACACGAGCGACGGCGCGGACACGAAGATGATCTGCAGCACCCACAGGCGGATGTGCGAGATGGGGAAGGCCGCGTCGTAGCAGACGTTCTCGCAGCCCGGCTGCTGCGTGTTGCACACGAAGTCGGCCTGCTCGTCGCCCCACACCAGCTCGGCGGCCGTGCCCAGGATGAGGATGCGGAAGATGAAGAGCACCGTGAGCCACACGCGGCCCACGGCCGTGGAGTGCTCGCTCACCTCCTCCAGGATGTTCCCCAGGAAGCTCCAGTCGCCCATCGCTGGCCGCCTGCAGGGGAGGAGGCAGAGTGAGCGGCGGCGGTGCCCCCAGCGGGTCCTCCGCGCAGAGCAGGGCCAGGGGACCAAGGGGCCTCAGAGAACCTGCTTCTGGCAGCTCCCGTATCTGTAAATTGGGTTTGATGTAATACCGGTTCTCACTGACTTCACAAGCCACCTTAAAGGATAAATGTGCCGGACCTGTGGGGCTCAGTGGTTGAGCGTCATGTGGAATGAACCAGGGGGTCACGGGTTCGATTCCCCGTCTGGGCACATGCCCCGGTTGCAGGCTTGATCCCCAGGAGGGGGCGTGCAGGAGGCAGCTGGTCAATGATTTTCTCTCGTTGTTGCTGTTTCTATCTCTCTCTCCCTTCCTCTCTGAAATCAATAAAACAATATTTATAAAAGGATAAATGTGGGTATAATTCCCTAACTTCACCCAAAATACAGATTCATTGTGGACCACAGATAGCAATCCACGGTTATGTGGAATTAAATCAAGATCACAGGCAGGACCAAGGCGCAGGAGGCAGAATGCTAATTCCGTATGCCATGGGCGGCTGGGCCCACACAGAACCTATGGAGGTAGGACATGGACTGCAGCTCTCTTACTTTTGACATGTCCAGCTACATAATGATGGTCTGTTAGAAGGAAACTGGCATTGACTGAGTATCTACTTTGCGATAGACCTTCAATACGATAGTTCATTTAGTCGGAGGCCGACTGACCGCACTCTCCGTGAGGGTGCGGCCCCACCTGTGTACTCACAGCTGTAGACGCAGCACTTGCCACAGAGCCCAGCAGAGAGCAGAGCCCCAGAAGTGACTGCCAACGGACTGCAGTCCCGCACAGGAGGGAACGGAGGCACAGGGAGGTCACACAGAGTCTAGGAGACACTGAGCAGCCGCATTCTGGCTGCCGGATTCCAAGGCAGCCTTTTCCCTGACACCCTGGACAGCCTGGGGTCAGAGCGACGCCGTTCTCTGACTCCCATGTCCTTAATTTATGTTTCTTTCCTCCAGGTTGAAACTGGAGGCCCTTCTCGACAGCATTACAAACCGAGAACAGTATCTCACAATTGTTATTACTGCTCGGTTAGAGCCGCGGGAGGGGGAGTGCTGCGTAAGGAGTCATGTCTACAGTACAGCAGGCCCGTGAGGACGGTTAGTGTCCTGCAGGATGAAGGGCGCCAGGGTCTGGAACGCGGTGGTTTAACAGCTAAAACTGCCCTGTGACAACAAAAAGCCCACCATTAAACACGATAGTCTACAATGCCCTAGCGACAGCAACAGCAGCAGCTCATGCACACGGGGTGGAGGGACAGCGGTGGTGTGCACTGGGTCACCCACCCTGGGCGCCTGGCATGCAAGCTGTGGCCTCTGCAGGACGAGGACGAAACTCCCACTGCATCTCGGACAGACTGCTCCTCCCCGGACCGGAGCTGCGGCATTTACTCATCGCTACCCTTACCCCGGCAGGAGCCGCTCTGAGACCTGCTGCTCTGGGCTTCTCCAGCCTGTCCCGCCCACAGGATCCGAAGTCGCCTGGGGCCAAAGGAGTATGCCTCGACTTTTAAGGACAGTGATATTGGTTTGACGCTTGCGTGAGTGGTGAAAGTGGGATCTTCAGTGAGGTGTGATTTTCAGCTTGAGGAGGAGGGAAACCAAACGGCATCCGAAAGCCTCCTTCCCACCTGTGCTCCGGGGCTGGCCACCCGCCCTTGGTTGCCAACACTGACTGCAGGCGTGAGCGACGCCCAGCTTAGGCTCTCAGGGTACACACATCAGCCATCTGCTGCTTGTTGGGGAGCAGAGGGCTTTGCTCTTCTTGGAGCCCCAGACCCCCCCAATTCGGCGAGGCCTCCAGCAGCAGCGTCTTTCCTCCCGGAGGGTGAGAGCAGCTGGGGCTCCCCGGGCATGACTGGCACGGAGAAGAGCTGCTGGGAGGAGCGGGGAAGTGAGAGCGTGAGAGGGCCCTCTGCTCGGCACCAGCGGCTCAGAATCTCAGGTGCATGGATCTAGTTCTGCTTCTGCTGCGAACGCTCCTCAGAGCTAAACCCAGTGCTTGGCCTGCGAAGAGTGGCAGCCGTTCACATCCTCCTCCGAAAAGACCCCACAACAAACAAAACAGAACAGAACAGAACAAATGGGAAACAGCGCAATCAGGCAAGCAGCCCAAGTGTAAATCCTATTGGTGGTAGAGCAAAAATAAATAAATAAATGCAGAAATTAATTAAATAAATAAAACCAGAATTTCTTACCAAGTAATGAATCCGAACATTCATGTTAAAACTACAACTGCATTTTGCTCCTATAAGAGTATGTCTGGCATTGAGTACTCTACGAGTAGCTCTAGCCTTGCTAATGTTTTATCCCCACTGATATATCAACTCAGCTTTGAAATCTACTTGTATTGCACCATACTAGTCCTGTGGGATTTCTGTGTCTATTTCACTCATGTGCCCACATGAACACATGCGGCAAGCACATGCCCTCGGGACTGTAGGTGAACAGTCTTGACCAGTTGGGATCAAAGCTCTGAGGGGCAGGTACCATGTTGTCTGCATCTTCCGGGAAGATCATGACACAGGACTAAGACCATCACAGAGGGGGCGCGCCACAGACACCAGTGGCGGGACCAACAGTACTGACCTGAAATGCGCAATTCTCACTCCCCGAGTGCATGTCATATCAGAATCACTTAGCGTCTAGGGAACGCAAGTCCCTTTGCTGCAGGGAGCAGTGGGAGATGGCAAACCAACAGCAAAGGATAATAAATTGATCCCAAAGTTGCTGCTTGGAGACAGTGTTTTGGATAAGATCAAACATGAGTGTCATGACACATGTTCAGGACACATGAAGACCCTCCTGACCACCAACTGGTACTTTCTAAACTAGCCGCCTCTCCACACCCCTCCCTGCGATGCTAGGGCTATTGGCGTGTGCGTTTGTTTTTAAAGTCTAGTAACAACATTTCTTGTAAAAAGGAAGGAGGGGAACTGTAACTTAGGATGGAATCTTCTCAATTCCATGTCAATGAAGCAGGTCCGGCACGCTGTTAAGGAGGGAGGCCTTGGAGGGCCCAGGGCACGTGCCGTAGGGTCCTGGTGTCTGACAGCACAAAGTACACGTGAAGGAAGTCAGCAAGCAGCTCCCCTGGAGCCGTGGGGAAGCGGAAATAGTGTTTCTCTTCTCTTCTTCAAAGATGCGATTCTCCGTTTTCTGTTGCTTGTGAACATTTAGTGAACAGATGGAAACGGAACCATGGAGTTCGGCTTCCCGCCCCAGGCCATCCGCCAGAGCATCCCGCCAGGGACCTGGTTTTCGGTAACGATTGAACGAACACCTCAGGGCTGGGGAGCCCTTACCTAGTTATGAATGGCATACTCTCACAGATCGGATTTCAGTCCTCATAACATCCTGTGAACTAGGTCAGTGATTCCCAGACCTGGATTTCACAGACTAGTACGACAACAACAACAAAATGGGGTGACCGGCATAGGCTGCCAACTTCTTATTTTGCCAAGCCAGGACGTAGAAATGAGACACTTATTAAATCACTAACTGTGACTACAGTCTGTTTTCACCATCATTTCATAAAAGGAGAACTTTCATACCACACAACTAGGAATAATATAATTTCAGAACGAAAGACAGGCCTTTAAATCAAACACATGTAACGAGGTGGAAAGTTTACTACGCTGTTTGCCACTCCGTTCTCACCTTTCTGTCACAGGCTGCTGAAAAACGCACTGGGACCAGAACTGACAGGTCCACAGACGGATGCTTGAGAACTAGTGAACTAGGCATTAGTAGCTCCCATGACCAGGCAGGGAGACAGACGAGGAGGTAAAAGAAGTCTCCTATGATGGCTCAGCCTGTGAGGGCAGAGGGGGATGTGGGCCACGGTTTTCCAGCGACAAGCTCAGGGCAATTTCCAGTACAGCACAGATATTTCTCCTGGCTTTGAAGAGGCAGACTAACACCTCCACATCCGTATTAACAAGTTCCCCAAAGGATTTGATGGCCACTTACCATGCCGGCTGGTAAGGGACTGTGACTGTGCCTGCATTCATGTTTCTAGAGCATTCTCTTAGCCAGTAGCTCCTGTGAGAGACAACAGAACCTATCCCCAGGCAGAGTTTTTCAGTCCTTAGCCAGGCCCCTTCCTGTGATCCGTGAAGCACCCCAACATCTAAAATGCTGAGCACCAAGCCTCCCCGGCCCCACAGCACTCAGAAGTGATCACTGTCACTGCCATTGCAGAGACTGGGTGAAAAAGTGCAAAACTCTTTCATAAACATCAAGTACACGCCCCTGGATTCCTGGAGGCCTGGTCATTCATTCTGCAAATGGAAAAGACCCTAGCCAGTCCAATTGTAGTTAGATTCTGGACATCTCTGAGCCCCCCGCACCTTCCCTTTCCACACCTCTGCCAACTCTTCCGCCAATTCCAAGAGGGTTTTGGAATTGAATTCTCAGTCCAGCCATCCCAATCCAAGACCCCATCTTAGCGGCAAGCTTTTCCCTTTTGGAGAAGCCCAGGACTGGCCCTTCGATTAGGCTGGGAAAGAAGTGGGTGGGGACAGGAAGGCTACAAACTAATATCACCCAAAGCAAACTTGCCGGTGAGAGGGTCCCCTGGAGAAACGCGCGCCCTCCTTCTCCCTTGGCGCTCAGCAGCAAAATGGAGACTTCGGCTGCGTTCCTTTGGCCCCTAAAAGCCTACCTCCCGCTTCCCTACCCCCCCCCCACCCCCCGTGTGCTGCGTGACTGAGCAGATATGACTGGATTGGCCCTGATGGGTAGGTTTTACTGTCTGGCAAGGGTTTAAGCTCCCAGCCAGACAGCTTTTATGAAGGGAGGGATGTTTGGAGAACAATAGGAGAGAGAGAAAGGGAGAGCTATGTTGGGCACTGAGGGGAGGAGGGTGGGAAAGCTGACATGGGAAAGCTTAGAGGGGCTTCTGTAACCTCTAAAAGTTTCTTTTTTTTAAAAAAAAATACATACAGTGGGACCTTGACTTAC